TTTGATGACTCTAGCTTGAGTCAAGTTGACACACAAAACCAGCCAATACACCTTTTTTAAGTTTTTTTCGTCAGACATTTTGTCACAGCAATGAGAAAACGAATCCAAGAGTTCTCTGTTCTGCTATCCAGAGTCTGCCTTCCTAAAGGGAATAGGGAGCGATAGGATTTACTGCACTCATTTCTAAAGCCCTGCATTCCCAGCCTCTCATGCCCAGGCTGGAGAAGCTGCTGCTTCACCTGGGTCCTTCCTGTGTGAATCTCTGCTTCTATTCAGGAGATTTCCCCGAAGCAGAGAGGTCATGTAACTTTGCTAGAGTCTGACAGCTACCAAGGTCTTGGTCAAAGCTCTGGTTGACTCTGGAATCAAACATAGCCCTTCGAAGGACCCTTAGGTCCCAGTGCCCCACCTCGATCCAAAGCTCCATTAATTCCAGGCAGCTCCCCTTGTGACTGTCCCTGGCCCCAGTCAGAGCCCATTTCCTGTGTAGCAGGAAGCATAGCTTTGCATCTAGAGTCGAGTCACATAGGCCTCTAGGGCACACCAGTATCCTGTGTGCAGCATCCTCTACTTAATAGCATATTTGTACTGTGTGGCCAGTAAAAGTTGAATGCCTGGGGTAAGGTAAGCCTTACTCGTCTTTATGGAGATGGCTAAGCAGAGCCTGAGAGCAAAGCTCCTGCAGTGGGCATGGCTAGCTTAGGCTGCTGCTCTGTGGCCACTCCCAGACACTGCTTTTTATAGTGGGTTAGAACCCCACCTCTCCCCTCCCCCAACCTCCATCTCACTTCAGAAAAAAGTATCAAACATACAGAGAAAGCAGAGAAATGGAACACTCCCACACCCTCCACCAAGTGTGAACAATTTTTGCCTCATTTAGCACATGGAGGCCAGATCAGGACATGGTGTGTCTTCCTCTACTACACTGAGTTATTGTTTTGAGACTGTCTCTTATTGAACCAGCAGCTTTCTGTTTGGGCCTAGGATGACTGGCCAGGGAGCTATCAGGGTCTGCCTGTCTCCAGCCCTCCCCCACGCTGATCAGTCACGGCCAGCTTTGAAAATAACAACAACAAAATTATTTTGATTTGAACTCAGGCCACTGGGTCTAGCAGTCGTGTGCCTCTGCTGCAAAATCAAGTCCCTTCTCCTTTCAGCAGTCAAGCCAGTTATGTTTAGTCTCCTCCTGTGCATTGACTTTTCATTTCCTTGTCTATTCGCATATGTTCTTCTCCCAGCATGGCCCCATCGACTTATAGGGCCTTCTGGTGCGTCTACCAGGACAGACTTTTGCTGACTTGACCTCTTGGGTTTGTATAGTAAAGGTTTTCAAGTTAAAAGTACTTGTGTATGGTGACACATAATCCTAGCACTTAAGAGGTGGAGGCAGTAAGACCAGGAGTTCAAGACCATTTACAACTGGCTGTATAGACAGTTTGAGGACAGCTTTGGCTGCCCTCACGTACTCACACTTGTAACCCCAGTATCTGGGAGGCTGGAACAGGAGGAATTTGAGTTTTAAGCTATCCAGGCCTGTACAGTGATGTTCAAATATTTTTTTTCTTAAATCAAGATTTAAAATCAGTACCATAATGATGGTCACTGCTTCTGCTATGCCTCTGTTTCAGTTGAGGGGGGGCTGCACTGCTGCCAGTTGGGGCTGGGTTGCTGGGCTATATGTCCTGGATGGTCTGCATCCCTGGCTCACTACCCTGGAGTTACATTAGCTGAGGATGAGCTAGCTCCATTACTGGTTTCAGGAGCTCTGGGTCTCTCAGCCAGTTGGCAGAGGTGTGATTTCTGGCAGGAGATCTGTGGCTATGAGTCAGGAGTTTGAAATGCCACTGCCACAATCCTGAGGTTCATGGAACCAGAGAATACTAAGCTCTTGTGAGCACAGGACAAGGAGACAGTGATGTTTTGAGCCATAAGATATGACTATCTGCCCATGGGTGATGACCAATCTCTGAGTGTCAAGGAATATGGGCACATGCACAAGTCCTCAGTCATCTGCAGTCATGCTTGAACTTTGATGATGGGACCAAACCATATTGTCTCAAATACATGGCCATGGTCCACCAGGAATATTACAACTTGGACTTATAGGCCAGAGAAATGGCTAAGTGAGGTAAGGCTGCTTGCTGCCAAGCTCTTGACCTGAGTTTTGATATCCGGGACCCACATGATGGGAGGAGAGACCTGACTACTGCAAGTTGTCTTCTAACCTACATGTGTGTGCTGTGGTAGATGCCTTGCTCCTCAGATAATAAAACAAAAGTGTAACATAAATTTAAAACACTGATTTAGAAATTTAATAGTATGACAACCTTACAAAAATATGAAAATACAGTATCAGTAATGATACATGTGTTGTATGTGTATCTTTCTTTGTATGAACACATGTTCTTGTGCACATAGGTAAATGTATACGCACAAGTGTGTATGCATAGGCAGAAGTCCACATCTGGTGTATTCTTTAATGGCTTGCTAACTCTTTTTATGAGGCCAGGTCTCTCAGAAACCTGGAGCTCATAGGTTGGGCTAAGCTACCTAGCCAGTGAGGTCTAGGGATCTGCCTGTCTCTGGTCTTCATCTCTGGGGCTACAGATATATGCTGCCATGCTTAGCTTTTTGTGTAGCTGTATGAAAACTCAGATCCTCCTGCTTTTATATCAGGCCCTAATCCACGGAACCACATCCTTAATCTCTGTACCAGTCATCTTTATCAAAGTGAAAGTGTGTACCATTGTTATTGAACAATGACCATGGACAGAGGGACAGACAGGAGGCAGCTAGCTTTGGTCTTCTGTTGACTTGAGAGAGCTACACCCTCTCTTGAGACCCCAGGATGGCCTGTGAGGTTGGGGTCAGCAGCCCTGGCTCATGTGTAGAGCTGCCAGGAGCAACAGGAGGACTAGGCAGAAGCAGGCACAGAATGACTGCACAGCTGGTCCCAGCAGGTCATGCTTTCAAGGTCTGTTGGTTCTCTGCCCCTTGGTTGCTCTGTATAACAAACCATCTCTTATCATGCTGAGCCTCAAAAACAGAGTTGAAATGAGGCACAAAAGAGAGTATTGCGCCCCCAAAGTCCAACTTCCCAGTTTTCTTCACAGAGTTCCTAGGAAGGCCTAGGAAGCCCTTCCCCCAGGAGCTCCTCTGTGTGTCACTTCTCTGAGCTGTAGCCTTACTGGCCTCTCTCTCTCTCTCTCTCTCTCTCTCTCTCTCTCTCTCTCTCTCTCTCTCTCTCTTAAAAGATCATCATTCTTCCCACCACAGGCCCTTTGCCTACCCAGTCAGTCTGCCTCCCACTGCACCTCGATCACGATCACTTCTGTTTATCCTTAAAGTCTAGGCTTAAGACAGTGCTCCCCCTCCCCCAGGGAAACTGAAGGGGAGCAGTCCAGGCACTCAGCTCTGAGCACCCCAGTGGTTCTGGTTAGCACTTCTCCTCACAGCAGTCTGAGTCACCAGGCCACACCCACAAGGCCTGACCCCTTGAGGTTTCTGATTGCCACTGACTCTTTTAAAGTGCTTGCTGGAGACCACATGTGAGGTGAGCCCAGGTTGTTTCCCTCTGTGACACTGAAGTTCCTTATTAGTGACAGGCGCCTGTGACTTTCTATGAATCTGTGGCTGAACTGTTAGAAATCTTAGTTGAATGTTATCTTGAACTGGGGAGGTCACCTCTCACCTTCCAGAGGCTCCTGGCTGCTTAAGCTGCCTTCTAGATGGGAAGACAAGACCCCTCCAGGCCAGGGTGGCCTTGTCTGCAGCAAGTGAGCGGACTCCTTGGTTCTGACATTCAGCCCTACTACATAGCCTTCATTCTTTTAAACTTTCTCTCCGCCAGCCCTTGCAGGCTGCCAAGCTACTGCATTCATTTGTCATTGTTTCTTAGATGCAAGGGAGAGAGGGCACACAGTTAAAACAGGCGATCCCATTTACCCCTCCCAGTGGACTGTGGTGGACCTGGGGCCCCATCCCACTCCTCCCTTTACCCTTAACTTTCCTTGGGTTCTAGTGAAAACTCGGGATGTGTCTGTGTGCAAGCCTTGAAACACTTGGAAGTTTTGCACTTGTGGCCTGGCATTGGGTGAGTCTGAGACCAGCCTCCTTCAGATTAGGGTTGCTAGGAGGCCGAGCTCTACTTGGCCTGGCTTCCTTTCTCTGTCAGTAGCTCTTTCGACTTCCTCTCTTTTCTCACTTCAGCATGCCTAAGTCCTACTGAATGCTGCAAAGTTGCTACAAGCAGGGAGCCTCTCTGTGCAGCACCAGGCCCTCAACAACCAAAGGGAGCTAGGCTGTTAGAAAGCACCTAGGGGCTGCAGGCTTTTCCTAGGTCTCTCTAACCAGTGCTGATGGCACTTGTGCACTACCTCTGCATCAGCTACCAGGTGTGCTCAGCACACTCAGACCCTGGCAAAACAGTTGCTTATTTTGTCTTTGCTGGATGAATGAAGGCACCACAAAGAACACCCAGCTCTGCTCCAGCATTCTCCACCAGGACAGACACTGGAGTTCAGCACTTCACAGCAGTGAATGCAGGTGTGGTGTTTGACTCTACAGGAAACCTCCACTATTCGTGTTATGGCCAGGCCTGGGGGGCTGCAAGGACTCGGGCCACCTGCCTATCAGGCAAAGACGGCACCTCTGCATCGTGCAGTGTGCAGAGTGTTCAGTATAGAGCACGGGTGTACATGGTAAAGAAGGATGGGTGCGGTGCAGAGTAAGGGGTTTATAGTGCAGAGTAGAGAGTGCGAGGTGCATGCTGTTGAATGAAGAGTGGAGGATACGGGTTGCACGGTGCAGAGTGCAGGAGGTCCGCGGGCTCCGGGCAGCGGCCGGGATCCCTCGAGGGACAAGGCAGGATGGGCCCAATGCACGCGCGCCTGGGCGGGCTACAACGGGCCGCCGTCCCGCCTCTCTCCGGCGCTCCCGGCCTTTCCCATCCGGCCCGCGACGCTCCGCCCGCCCCGTCCCACATGACACCGCCTCCGCCGCAAACTTTTTCCTCCCCATCCTGTCGCGCCGGGGAAGGAATGGAAGATGGCGGCCTAGGCGCAGAGTTTCCTGCCCGAGCAGCGGCGGCGGCGGCTCCCGGGGGCTGCGGCCGGCGCCACCATGACGCGCTGGGTTCCCACCAAGCGAGAGGAGAAGTACGGCGTGGGTGAGCAGCGCGCCGCCCCGAGCCCGCCCCGCGCGCAACTTGCCCGCCACGGCGCCCAGCCTGTTGCCGCGCGGTGCGGAGTCTGGCCCGCCCGGGGCTGGAGCCCGCGTGGGGAACCCGGGGACCTTCCCGGGGGTTACCACGCTTCTCGTTCCCGCGTTCTCTCTCCGTCCTCGGCCCGTGTGGTCCGGCGCACTAGGGGCCTCCGGGGTCATTGTTTGCATGCGTTTTGGCTTCTTCGGGAAACTTCTGTTTGGCATCCGGGATTCCCGGTGGACGTTTCATTGTGCCGTGCCGTGGCCCCTGCACTCGGGCTGGGTCGGTACCGCTTTTCCTACCCCGGCGAGTGGGGACACCCGGGCGCTCTGGTGTCCCTGGGGCCCTGGAAATCGTCCTCGAGGGCTGGGACCTGGCTTTGCCTCTTTGTGGCTTCCCGAGGGGCTAGAGGGAGTTGGGTTGCGAGGTTACGATGGACTCAGTACACTTCCAGGGAGTCCTCAGTGGCCAGTTAGTTCTGGGACCTGCAGATCCTATCTCTACCACCTTGCCCCCATCAAATGTCAGGGATGTCTAGGCCTCAGGGCTCGCTGGCATTCCAGATCTGACTATTTTGTTTCCAGGCTCTTTTCCCTCTTCCCCTAAGGAGCTTTTGACACCCAGTCTCACCTGAGAAGACTCCCTGAATTGCAAACAAGCATTTTGGGAGCTTACTGCCTTCCACCCTAAGGGCTGCCCTAGGGCACCTTCTCAGCTGCTGTCTGTTCCAGGCATGCCTTTAGCACCCTCTTGCAGGCCTAGTTCATGTCCCAGCCCGCTGGCTGGATGCTTCCTGGAGACTCCTGTCTACAAGGCTGTGTCCTTCCTGTGAACTCCAGTTACTTCTTTCTGTAGTGTGTCAGGGATTGTGGCCATGGGGGCAGGGCGGGAAAAGCCTAGGGCCCTAACCTCCACTCTAGGCCCAAAGGCAGATTTGGAGGGCTTCCCTGCTTTGGCAACACTGGGGTTGAGCTCTGCCTGCACTTGACAAACCTTCCTGAAGCCCATGATAGAACTGAGCTTTCTGAGGGCTGATGGGCTGTGCAAGGAGCTAACAAGCATGCTGTGTACCTCATAATGGGCTCCTTCTGGGGCAATGGCTCTTAGAGCCTCATCCATCTCTGCATCTAATTCCACTTAGGAGGATTTCTAAGTGTGGCAGCAATGGATTCTGTCCTGGGGTTGCCCAGGACTGCTCAAGGAACAGCTGGAAGAGGATCAGGAGGGGGTAGAAACTGGCACAAGAAGTCCAGGAAACAGTGCGGAAGGAGGGATGCTTGCTTGTGCAGGGGAGTCCCTACATAGTGGAGAAAGTTGCTGCTTGCACTTCTCTGGGTTTGAACTGTGGCAGCAGTTCTGGTGCAGCTGCCACCATGGCTTGTGATTATTGGGCAAGGGAGTCTACTTTTTTCATTTTTGTTTACTTTGTGAGATGCAGTTTTACTATGTAGCCCTGGTTGGTCTGGGACTTCTCTATGGAGACCAAGCTGGCTTCATAAGCACAGAGATGTACTTGTCTCTGCCTCCTGAGTGCTAGGTTTCAAGGCATGTGCCATCACACATGGTGAGTCTACTCCCCTCCCCCTGTCTTTTAAAAGAAAAACTTGGAGATTGTTTCATTGGCATTTGAGAGAAAGAAGCAGGGGGCCTGCAGATCTCAGCAGCTGTCGGGTGGGTGGAGGGTGGTAGATAGGAAAGAAAACGGCTGGGGATGTTGGAGGGGGACTGGATACCTAGTACCACATTTGTAGTGTGATGGTGCAAACCTGTAAAGCCAGAACTTGAGAGGTGGAGAGGCAGGAGGATCAAAAGTTGAAGGTCACCCTCTGCATTATAGTAAGTTTGAGGCCAGCTACATGGGATCTCATCTCAAGAAGTAAAAAAAAAAAAGGTCATCTTTTCTGTGATAAAAATCTGCAGATTTAGTGATGGAAATCTGTGAGTTCCTTTGAGTGTGGGGGTTTAAGTTCACAGAGACAGACAGAGAGAGATATCCATCCATTGGGTGGGGGTGGGGCACTACATTTTGCTGAAGTATGTAATTCCCACAGTGACCTGGATGTTGTCAGTGAGTCTTCTGTAGTTCTGCAGTGTGGTTTTACCTGGAGAAGATGGGGGCACGGGCATTCCTATCAAGGGTCTCCCTCCAGAGGAGGAAGCAAACAATCTAGCGGGGCTGTGACCTTCCCCTTTAGGTCACACATCTTCCAATGAAGGCACTCTTGGATCTGACTTCTAACATCGTGTCTTGATCTTAAAACCCTTCTGGAAAGTTCTCAAAGGAGAAAAGTCTATGGCAGTGGTTCATAATTTTTTTTCCTTGCTACTTCATAACTGTAATTTTGCTACATTTATGATTTATAATGTAAATATCTGATATGCAGGATATCTGATATGTGATTTTTGTAAAAGGGTCATTCGACCCCTAAAGGGATTGCGACCCAGAGTTTGAGAACTGCTGGTCTAGGGGCTGGTATTTGTCAGCAAATTTTAGTAAAAGTGTGAAAGATTATCTGGTGTAAGAGAGGGTGTATGTGTGTCTGTCTTCACCAGGATTAGGTAAAACAGCTGAGCTTAGATGTAACAAGGCATCAGAAGGCACCTTGAAGATTAGAGTCTCCATGAGAATGTGTCAGAGTGGGAGTCAAGGATGGACCTATAGAGGCATCCCAGCTCTCTGCATGTCTGACAGTTTGCATTAGAAGAATCTTTGTGGTTCCCAGGGCAGATGCTCACTGGGAAAGACCTAAAGTGTTTGTATGTATGGTGATTGGCTGTTTCTCCCTAAGGGAAAATTACTAAAGATCCCCATACCAGCCTCAGCATTCTCTTTGGTAGCCTTAACAACAGGCCTGTGTTTTCTCCTGAGGTTCTGGTGGGTGGACCCTGCTTCCACTCAAGCCACTTGGCCCATGAATGAATCACGAGGGAGAAGGAAAGAAAATGATCAAACGACATCTCTTTTGGAAGCATGAATCACAGCTCATTGTTCAGAAGAGCTTGGGGACTCTTAGAGCATTGTTTGTAAATGAGACACTCTATTTATTTATTTATTTATTTATTTATTTATTTATTTATTTATTTCGGAAACTGGAGATGAGAATAAATGACTGGTGTGTAGCTCCTGCCAGGGCAGGAAATGGGGGTTCCTGTGATTCATTTCGTGGGGTTGCTGCTTGTGAAGGCTGTCAGCTGGCTTTTTATCTCTCTTTTGGGCTTGGTCTGGTGGGCTGTGTTTAGGGACTTGGCTTATTCATGCAGGCATAAACTTTGACTTAGTTGTCATACCAAGGGCTGGGCAAGATCATCTTTTCCATCACCTGATAGGATCCTGTGTTCTGTTATTTAGAAGTTTTGATGGCTCCTGTTTCTCAGGATCTCGCATGGGCTCGAGGCATAGCTGGTGCACAGTTGTGGAAGGGAGAGAAAGGGCCATAGAGGTGTGCACAGCCTCATCTCTCCACCCTGGGAATTGTGATATGCTAATACAGAAGAGACACTTGGTAGGTATGATGTAGCTAATAAAGTTTGGGATAGAGTCTCATGGGCTCTGGGAGCTTTGCTCGCTGTTCTTGGTAGAGGGAGTGGGAAGAGAGACATGTAGAATGGAAAGTCAGGTTCCAAACCAGAGAAGGACTTGATGGGCGGCTATGAGCCCCAAGACATAGGGGCTCACTTGCAGGGACCAGGCTGAGGTCTCAGAGAGCAAAGGACTGCCAGGCAGTGTGACCCCATAAAACTGGATGATTCTGCAAACACCCCATAGGAGCTTAGAAGGAGATTTCTTCCTGGATTCTGCTGGTGGGAGCCTCATGCTTCTGTTTTGAAATCCAGGGCCTCTAGGCCTCTGGCTGCAGAAGTGTGAAGTCGTGATCTTGGGTGAGCTTAAGGTGATCTAGCTGGGGTAGTCTGTTATGGGAGCAGTGGAAAACCAGGACAGATGGTATGGATAGCAGCTTGGGTCAGGCCTCTCCTGTCGGTGAGTCTGGCTAGGTACAGGTAAGATAGCAAGCCCAGCATTTCTCATGCACCTCTTCCAGATAGAGATCCCAGGCTGGGGCAGGGTTTTGGCAGGCTAGACACCTTAACTTATTCTTAGCTCTTCCCCATAATGTGACCTTCGACCTCAATAGTCCCATGTGCAGAGTGGAGCTGAACCTGCTTACTTCTGAGTCTTGCACAGAGTCACTGAGATAATGTGCTCAGAGCTTGTGTGTGGCATGCAACAACTGCTCAATGCAAGCAACTATTTTGCTTTTAAGAAAAAAATTATATGTATTTATGTGTGTGTGCAGACACAGGCCAGGTTGTAGATGTGGAGATCACAGTACAGCTTGCAGGACTTGGATTTCTACTTCCACTGTGTGTGTTCCAGTGATCAAACTCAGATCATCATCCTTAGTGCTTTTATTCCCTCAACTACCTTGTTGGCTTCTACGTTTATTCATTATTTAATAAAGTACAGCTTTTAGAAATGGAAAAACGATGCTGGGCATAGTGGTATGTGCCTTAGTCCCAGAACTTGGGAGGCTGTAACAGGTCTTTCTCTGTCCTGCCAGATCCCAAATAATGACATGGAGGCTTTTATTAATTATGAGAGCTCAGCCTATAGCTAGTTAGTTTCCTAACTGGCCCTTATAATTTAAATTAACCCATTAATATTAATCTACATTCTGACAAATGGCTTGTGACTGTTATTTCTCTTCCTGCACATCCTGCTTGCTCTGCTTCTTGGCCTTTCTTCTTCCCAGAGTCCTCTCTGTCCCCAGAAGTCTTGCCTAACTTCTTCCTGCCTAGCTATGGGCCATTTTAGCTCTTCATTAAACCAATCACAGTGACACATCTTCACCCAGTGTACAAATATCCCTTAAGAGGAGGTAGAGGCAGACAGATCTCTGTGAGTTTGAGGCTAGCCTGGTCTACATAGTGAGTTCCTGGACAGCCAGAGTTACATAGTGAGACCC